TGAAAATAATGGTGGGGTTCTAAATAACGAATGCAATGTCATCTGCAAACAGGGACAGATTTGACTTCTTCTTTTCCTAAACTGAAATACCTTGATTTCTTTCTCTGCCCTGATTGCCCTAGCCAGAATTGTCCACTAAACACTATGTTGAATTAGGAGTGGCGTGAGAGGGGATCCCTTTGACATGGCAGTTTCAAAGGGAATGCTTCCAGTTTTGCCCATTCAGTATGATATTGGCTGTGGGGTTTGTCAAAATAGCTCTATATTTTGAGAAACGTTCCATTAAATACCGAATTTATTGAGAGTTTTTAGCAATGAGGGCTGCTGAATTTGTCAAAGCGCCTTTTCTGCCACTCATTGAGATAAGCAATGTGGTTTTGTCCTTTGGTTCTGTTTATATGATGATTACGTTTTTTGATTTGCGTATGTTCAACCAGCCTTGCATCACCAGGGATGGATAGCCACTTGATCATGGTGGATAGCTTTTTGATGTTGCTGCTGGGATTCCGTGTTTGCCAGTATTTTATTGAAGATTTTTACATCCAGATGTTCCGTCAGGGATATTGGCATAAAATTCTCTTTTTTGGTTGTATCTCTGCCAGGCTTTGGTATCAGGAGAGTTGGGCCTCGAAAATGAGTTAGGGACGGATTCCCTCTTTTTCAATTGATGGAATAAGTTTCCAGAAGGAATGGTACCAGCGTCCTCCTTGTTACCTCTGGTAGAGTTCGGTCTGTGAATCCATCTGGTCTGGACTTTTTTGGTTGGTAGGCTATTAATCTATTGCCTCAATTTCCAGAAGCCTGCCCTATTGGTCTCTCAGGGATTCAACTTCTTTGTTAAGTCTTGGGAGAGTGTAAGTGGTCCAGGAAATCTTATCCATTTTTCGAGGTTTTCTAGTTTTATTTGCATACAGGTGTTTATAGTATTCTCTGATGGTATCTGTATTTCTGTGGGGTCGGCTGGTGATATCCCCCTTATCTATTTTTTAGTTAAATCTATTTGATTCTCTCTCTTTTCTCTTTATTAGTCTTGCTAGCAGCCTATCAATTTTGTCGATTTTTCAAAAACCAGCTCCTTGGATTTCTTGATTTTTTTGGAGGGTTTTTTGTGTCTCTATCCTTCTTGTCAGGTTCTGCTCTGATCTTCTTAGTTATTTCTTACCTTCTGCTAACTTTTGAATGCGTTGCTCTTGCTTCTCTAGTTCTTTAATTGTGAACGTTACGGGTGTCAATTTTAGACTTTCCATGCTTTCTTTTGTAGGCATTTAGTGCTATAAATTCCTCACACACTGCTTTAAATGTGTCCCAGAGATTTCTGTGTTATGGTTTGGTCTTTGCTCTCCTTGGTTTCAAAGAACATCTTTATTCTGCCTTCATTTTGTTATGTACAGTAGTCATTCAGGAGTAGGTTGTTCAGTTCCATGTAGTTACGTGGTTTGATTGAGTTTCCTTAGTCCTGAGTTCAGTTTGATGCACGTGGTCTGAGAGACAGGCTTATTATGAATTTCTGTTCTTTACCATTCTGCTGAGGAGTACTTTACTCCACTATGTGGTCCAAATTTTGGAATAAGTGTGATTGTGGTGCCTGAGAAGACATGTATAATCTGTCTGATTGGTGTAGAGTTCTGCTATATGTCCTATTAGTCCACTTGAATGCAGAGTGTGAGTTTCAATGTCCTGGATATCTTGTTATTTCTGTCCTTGTTGATCTGTCTAATGTTGAACTAGGGGAGTGTATTAAAGTCTCCCATTATTATGTAATGGGAGTCCTCAAGTCTTTTGTAAGTCTCTAAGGACTTTGGCCTTATGATCTGGGTGCTCCTGTATGTGGCGCATATAATTTAGGATAGTTACTTCTTCCTGATGAACTTGATCGCCCATTTATACCGGTTATGTGAGGTGGCTTCTTTGTCTCTTTGATCTTTTGGTGGTTTATTAAGTCTGTTTTATCGGACTAGGATTGCCACCCCCAGCCTTTTTTATTTGTTTTTTCCATTCTTGCTTGGTAGATCTTCTTCCATCCCTTTAATTTTGAGCCTATGGTGTGTCCGGGTCTGCATGTGGGAGATGGGTCTCCTTGAATACAGCAAATGATGGGTCTTGACCTCTTTAATCCAATTGCCCAGGTCCTGTGTCTTTAAATTGGAGCAATTTAGCCCAGTTTACATTTAAGGTAATATTGTTATGTGTGAACTCTGATCCCTGTCTTTATTATGATATTAAGCTGATATTTTGCTCCTAGTGATGGCAAAGTTTCTATCCTAGCATTGGGATGGACTTTACATTTTGACATGTTTTTGCAAATGGCTGGTACCAGTTGTTCCTTTCCATGTTTATAGTGCTTCCTTCAGGGATCTCTTCTGTAGGGCAGTCCTGGTGGTGACAAAATCTCTAAGCATCTTGCCTTGTCCTGTAAAGGATTTTTTCCCTTCACTTATGAAAACTTAGTTTGGCTGGAATATGAAATTCTGGGTTGAAATTCCTTCTTTAAGAAT